AGAACCTGATGGATTTTTTTTTTCTATTCTTCCAACCTCTCCCTGGTTTTCAGGATTTTAGATAAAATGTCTCATGGATTCAAAAAACTTCAGCTAATTGTTCCTTCTAACGTGTTTTTTTCTTTCTTAAAGAGTCAAAATCCTAAATCATAGTATTTTATTTTCTTCATGTTGATCCAGTAAAGACGGTTTTGGTTCTGATTCTGGTTGTACCGACACTGGAAGACAGATTTAGAGTCTGGACCAGAGAGATTTCAGTTCGGAGATCGAACCCTAAACCTTCTGGTAAAAAGACGCACTTCTTTCCAATGAGCACCAGACATTTCATGCCAAAAATAGATGATAATATTTTAAATTTCCTACCCGGTCGAAGTAGATAACCATGGTTCGGTTGCTCATCTCTGACGGCTCATGGTTGGTGTTCCGGACTGCGGAAAACGCCACCTTCGCGCTGCCGGAGCGCACGGAGATGCCGAGTGCGGTGCCCGTGGGGTCCGAGGTCGGGTTGGAGTCACACACCACCAAACACTTCCCCTCCAGGACGATGGGTTCCGTCTCGTTCTGAGCCTGGGTCGAACTCACCACCAACCAGGCGGCACCGAGGAGAACACAGAGCGTCAGCATCGCGGAGCAGATCGGCGAACTTTCTTCGCTCGATTTCGCGCCGTTTGAGAAAAAAAAGGGCAAAACCCCCGAGAAGAAGTGAAGAAAGAAGGAGGAGTTTTCCGGGTGTTTTTTTTCTCTCTCAGGTGAACGGACGTGGAGGTTTTTCTTCAAGAAGATTCCAGTAAAGATCTGAATCTAAAACTGTTTCTTCTTTCTGTGGACTCCCGTGTTTCTTCTTCTTCTTCTTCTCTCTTTTTAAAAACGAACCTGCGGTGGAACTCACGGTGTCTCACTCCCTCTGTTCTGTTCTGTTCTGTTCGTTTCTCTTCTCACTTCCTTCTGACTATTTTTTTTTCTTCAGTTTTTGTTTGTTTGTTGTCACTTGTCGGAGACGCAGCAGCTAAGCCGGAGTCGCGCGTCCTGCCGAGGGAACGACTCCTGCACGAGACACAGAGGCAGCGGCGACGGAAGTCATAGCGCGAGCCCGGAAGTTCTGTCTGTGTGTGAGCGTGCGTACGGCGCGCGCCTGAATTATTGATATGAGAGAGCGAGAGATACAGAGAGAGAGAGAGAGAGAGAGAGACTCCACCTTCTCACCGATAACATCGACCCATCATCTGATTAGCGTGTGCGCGTCCATGTGTGATGTTATTTCAATCCCCGCCCCCGGACCGCCCACCTTACTTTGTCTGTTTGCTTGTCTTGGTCTCTCTACCTTCCTCTCTCTCTCTCTCTCTCACACCTTTGTTTTTTTTGCTGACAGATTTATTACTGTATTTCTATCTAAACGTCCAACAGTAACCGTCATCTTCATCATCATCCTCCTCCTCCTCCTCAGTGAACAGTAGCCGTTAGCCGTTAGCTGTTAGCCGTTAGCAGGATCTCAGGTGAGAAGATGAATTTTCTCAGATGTGAAAAAAAAAAAAAAACCCTGAACCTGACGCTCCCTAAAACAAAAACAAAAAAAAAACTCCCCCCTGTGGCAGAGAGTGAACATCTACACAGAGTGTAGCCCAGACGTGGGTCGCAGCCCACAGATTCTGAACAAAATATTTAGCTTCTGTGACGCCGGGGCAGATGTTGGAGACACATGAGGAGGAAGCGCCGGAGCTTGAAGTGATCCAAATGAGTTCCACCGGGAGATGAGCCACCAGGGGGCGCTCTTTAAAAAACTCCACACTGAGCTCGTACTACGTGACGACAACTTCGTGTTTCAAATACTTTGAAGTACTCGTCATTCTGTGACAGCAACAAAGACAACGTGAAAACACGTTCATTTTCTGGGCTCGGCCTCATGAGGGTCTAAAGTTCTGGTCTAAAGCAGGGGTCACCAGGGAGCCCCTGACCCCTGGTGGCTCCATGAGGAACTGCAGGTAGATCGAGAAATTTTAGGTTGATTTGAGCACGGGTTCCCAAACATTTCCATGATTTTAGCATCACCAGGTCTACACAGATTACGATGTTATGTCAAAATTGCAGCTGTCACGCAGGTGCGTTCAGGTACCATCGGAAACTTCAGAATCTCACATTTAAGGCAGTTTTTGTGACGTAAGACAAATGGTTCTTTAAAAAAAATTTGATTCTTTCTTTTGCATTTCTTTTTCTCATCTTCCCTCCAATTTTCTGAGGCCATCCTAGCGCCCCCTGGTGGCCGTCACATTGCAAAACCAGAACATTTGACAATTTAGAAAAAAAATAAATAAAAAAAAATGGTGATTAATATTAATTAACAGTCAGCATCCTGACGATTGTTTGGACGGGGGTCTTGGGGGGTCCATAGCTTACAGTCTCCACATGCTAAAATGCTTTTAGTTTTCTGTACGCCATCTATAGGGAAAACGTGGGTATTGCAGGGAAAAGGCAGAGGTATAATGATAATATAAATAAATTACATAATTTGGAAAAGTTTGGCAGGTCAGGTTAAAAACCTGAACGGGCCGCATCCGGCCCCCGGGCCTTAGTTTGCCCATGCCTGGTCTACACTCTCCTCATGTAGGATTAGGTGTGTTATTAACTCTTAGTCGACCAGAGTGTGAAGGTAAATCAGTAAAGACATTTTTTTTTTTTTTAGATGTGTCTCAGAGTAACACCTCAGGCGCTACTTACGCATCCACGTAGAGTTTTAGTGGTCGGTAATGTGTACCAAAAATATTTGGTGTTAAAGTTGTAAATGGACTGTGATTTTTTTTTTCCACTGAGGGAATAAATACCACGGTAGAGAAGGTGTGGAAACATATGGAACGTAGAAATGTTACCGTCGAAGAGAGAAGAACAGCGAGAACGTCTCCGAGGAGGAATCTCAGCTCCCACACTTTCCTGTAAAAACAACACGCCCACACACACACACACACACACACACACAGAGTCAGCCTAACAGAATGGAACATGCACTTACAGACACGTGCACACACATCCAGGTAAACACACACACACACACACACAGGTTGTCCAGGCATCTGTGAGATGTGCTGCCAGGTGATCGCTGGTTCCTCCTGAGACCTGGTGTCAGTCTCTGTGTGTGTGTGTGTGTGTGTGTGTAGGTGTGTGTTCCTCCAGTTTAAAGAGACACGGAGGCTGAAGACACTCCAACACGTCCCAGGTCTCAACCAGGACCCGTCAAACAAAAGACACAAAGTAGAGAGACACTGACGTGGACCGAGAAAGGGACGAACAGGACAATGTTTCTCATGATTTTGTCCTCATGGGGGCGCTCAACTGTCACTTCACATCTTCGCAACTGTTGACTTTTTTTTTCACATCTGGTCCTAAATCAGACATAATTGATGTTCAAGTATCAAGACTAAAAAAAAAAAAACAAGACTAAGTCTAAGTCTGAACGCAGCCAAAGAAACACGACCTGTTTTTAATTCAACTTCCACTGCTTAATGTATGGAGGTGAGAATGGGGGAGGGGTTGTCAAGCAAGAGTGGGGTCGCACCCCCGGACAGTTCTCCAGTCTAGTGGGTCAGAGCGTTGTTTCCCCAAAACCAGGTGGGTCGCAGGAATTTTTTTTTTTTTTTTTGGGTCGTCTCTCAGTTTTTGAATAATGTCTATTGACGTGGGTCGTGAAGGTTTGTGACCTTTAAAATATGGGTCTCCAGAAAAAAAAAAAAGTTTGGGAAACACTGGGTTAGAGTGAAGAGTTAAGATCATTAACGTGTTGTTAAACTGTAGAAGGAACCTGGAGCTCCTGGAGAACCTGGAGAACTCCTGGAGAACCTGGAGAACTCCTGGAGAACCTGGAGAACTCCTGGGCACTGACCTCTGCGTCAGTCAGTTCTGACTGAAGCCTCGGCGTCAGGACGTCCTGACACAAATCTAATGGTTTATTAAATAAAACATTGTCCTGGCGTGAGATTAATTAACATACCACCCCCACACACACACACACACACATATACTGGTGTATCCTTAAAGCGCGGTTGCCATTAAGTGAATTATTGCCTGTCATCACATGCAGCACTTCTCTTGAAATAATCAGATCAAATATGGAAACGCGCAGGCAGTAATGTGATTTTCCAAACCTGATTAGGTTTCGCTGACAGGACACTGGTGACTGTGGAGGTGGCAGCGGAGCAGCGTCGGCCAAGAGCGCCACAGAGGTGGTCCAAAAAAAGACGACAAGATGGTTTTGGGTTGGGTTTTTTTCCCGCAGTTGCTGTGATCGGAGAGTATTTATTTTTAAAGGATAAGATGGAAAAAAAACTACAAATAAATGTGCGTTAAATAAAAACGTCATCAGGAATTTAGGAAAATGTTTTTTAATTTAACTGATTTTACTTAAGTTTTGTAATTTTTTTTTTGATTAAATTCTCTTGTTTGACTTTGACATTTAGCTCCGTTATCTGTAAATTAACTCCTTTAGCAACACAGGCTAACTTCCCGCCATTTTGGCTAATCTTCCTTTTACTTAAGGTCAATTATTTTTATAATTTTTGTTTTAAGGTTTTCAGGGAAAAAGAAAATCTGTTTAGATCACCGGTTCCCAACCTCTGGTCTGGGGGGCCAGTGCCGGTCCGTAGGTCATTTAGTAAAAAAAATATTAAAAAAAGTACTTTACAGTTTTACTAATGTACTTCAATAATCCAGTCACTGATCCTTTACTGTTTTCATTCAATAATAATCTGTCAATGTTTCAGAACAACAGGTCAAAGTTTAGAGATGTTCCTCGACACCTACGGTCCAGATTCTTGGTTCAGGATTTGTATTTTATACTCATTAAAATTAAAAGATATATTTATTTTTAACAGTTTTTTTTTTTTTTGCCTGGTTAAATTATCTTTGATCGTTTGATCAGGCCTGAGGATCCACAGGATGGAGGGGAGAGAATGAGGAGGGGGGAGGAGGAGCAGAGATCTTCTGCAGGGCTTTTATTTTTATGGCCTGCTGCACATGGTTCCCCTGCTGTTCTGCATGAACGTAGCATAGGTGTGTGAGTGTCTGAGTGTGTGTGTGTGTGTGTGTGTTCCTCCTGTGAACACACACTCACACACACACAGCCTGGTGTTGCAGCAATAAACCTCTGCAAAGAATTAAAACTTCTCCTGATGTGGACCGCAGCCCCCAGTATGAATAACACACACGTGCACGCTCACACACGTGCACGCTCACACACGTGCACGCTCACATTCATTCATTCATTCATTCATTCACAGCTAAATCAGCCAAACACCAACGTCTTTGTTTCACTTTCGTTCTACCTTCATTTCCACAGCAGAGCCATGTCCTCGTCTCCTAACGGTGTGTGTGTGTGTGTGTTCCTCCTGTGAACACACACTCACGTTCTGGGGGACAAAAAAAAAAACAAAAAAAAATCAAAGTTGAAATTTAAAATGATAAAAATATTTCCATCATGTGCAGATGTGTGTGTGTGTGTGTGTGTGTTAGGTTCATATTGCTACATATAACGTTCTGTAGGGCTGGATGTAATAATGTCGCCGGGATATTTATACTTTCATTTTGACCGTACACATACAGAGTATGGGGCGTCGGTGTGTGTGAGTGTGTGTCTGTGTGTGTGTGCGAGTGTGTGTGTGTGTGTGTTCCGGGGGTCTGTGTCAGGCGTATGTAATAAAGGATTTCATTTGGTTATGGGGCTTCAGAAGGGCCGTCCTGAGAAGCTTTAGATTGGATCTGCTGTGTGTCCGAGGAGGATGGGAAATAACATCAGCTGTCAGGAGAGGGGAGGTGAAAAATAACCTGTCATCACTTCCCTCTCTCACCCCCTCTCTCTCTCCCTCTCTCCCTCCCTCCGTCTCAGCCGCTGCTCTGTCATGACTTGTTGCTCACTCCTCTGCGTCTCTCTCTCTCTCTGCTCTTCATCAAAGACTCTCAATGTCAAAAGTGAGGAGAAAGATCAGAGCAGGGTTTGATGTTCGAGGCCCGGTCCTCCTCTTCCACCAGCTGGTCGGAGTTTGTGTTCAAACCCGTGAGCTGCTGAAAGGTTGCGGGTTTGAAGACAGCTCTCGAATCGGTGGAGGTGTTTTTCTGAGAACGTTCTCCTCCTCCTCCTCCTCCTCCTCTGATATTCACCTCCTCTCACTTCCACATTCACACTTTGTTCAAACCCTCACTTTTCACAGACCTGATCTAGAACCAGAACCCTGCTGGGCCCATGTGTGTGTGTGTGTGTGTGTGTGTGTGTGTGTGTGTGTCAAAGGGACACATTTTATAACCGACGACGGGAAATTGTCGCAGGTGAGAAAAAGTTGAAGCGCTGCAGCCTCGGCATCTGACGGCGCGGCGGTCGGGAGGCGGGAGAAGAGACGCGACACGTGAGGCGGGTGTGAGAGAGGGAGAGAGGGAGAGAGGGAGAGAGGGAGAGAGGGAGGGAGGGAGGGAAACTGTGGGAGGAGGCGACAAACACCCGGATATATTTATAAATGCGGCAGGTGTGGCTCCAGTCGGAGGCGAGAGCCCTAGTTTCATCACCAGAGAAAGAAGAGACAGAGTTGCTCAAGTCCTGGTCCTGGCCCCGTCACAGGAACCACAAAGATCGCAACGACACAAATGTAGAACGTGTGTGTGTGTGTGTATGTGTGTGTGTGTGTGTGTTTTAACAGTCCTGGGCGACGTGTGAACTGGACAGGCGCTGAGAAAACAGCTTGAACAAAAATAGACTTGGGTCGTTTGCCATAAGCTGAGATTCAAATAGATGTGAATGGGAGGTGTAAAGTGGGCAGGAGGTGAAGAGACTGGTGAGTTCACCGGAGGAGAACATTTGGTCCAGCAGCGCACCCTGATGGAGGCAGACGGGGTCACAAAGCTGCAAAGTGCACACACATATATATATATATATATATTGATATCAAGTGTGTGTGTGTGTGTGTGTGTGTTCCATACATTCATTCTTGTTCCTGATTGCAGGTGTGGTCCTGATGTTTGTTTGTGTCCGTGCAAATATTAGAGCAGCGTGAGACGAGGTGTTGGTTCTGGAGATCGATGCTTGATCTCAGAGGGGGAACAGGCGGCGGGGGGCCGGGGGGGGGGGGGGGGGGGGGGGGGGAAGGGAGGGGGGGTCAGTGTGTGTTTGGTCCAGGTAAAAACCCTTACCAAAGTCATGGGGAGACTTTGTTCTCAGGGGGGCGCTGTTCAGGTCCCCACTGAGTGAGAGAGTATTTCTGAAGTTGAGGTTTTATGTCTGGAGTTTGGACTAGGATTAGGGTCAGATTATGGTAGAGATTAAGGATTTACATTTGTAACAGTTGAGGTTACAGTAGTGGGATGCGTTAAGGTGGTACTGTTTGTCTGTGTGAAGTGAGTGGAATCAAACAAGTTCTCAGAAAGTTCTAGTAACGACACAAACCTGATCGCAAAGAAACAAACATTCAAAGGAAGTGGATTTCAGTCCTTGGACCAGATTTGGAAACAGGTCGTGACCTGGTGTCAAGGTCATCCTCCAGAGAATCAGTTTTGTTGGAGTCAAGGTAGAAGATGCAGAGAACAGGGTAAAGTGGAAAAGGGACAAAGGCGAAAGGAAAAGAAGAAGAAGTCATCGACATATACAGACACATTCACGCAACAAAGAAATGTCCACAAGGTCCACTACGGTCTGTGCCCCTACCCTCAACCAAATCGCTATTGTCTACAAAATGGATGTCAACTCCGAACTCAGTACTGCCCCCTTGTGGATTTACGTATTAACATCCATACCGAACGGTACAGTTGTCAGGTGAAGACTGAATCTGAAGGATCGATCCATGCGCCGCGCTCAGACAAAGGAGGCCTTTTGCAGATCCACCAGCAGGAGGCGACGCGGGGACTCTCTCTCTCTAGCTCTGCTTGATGTAATCTCATGTTCCTAATAAAATTTAGCCCGAGAAGAACGCGCAGCAGAACGGTGGAAGCTGTCGCCTCGGCAGGAAAACCCTGCAGATTTGGAAGCAGAAGCCTCACAGATGGATGGAACAAGCTGCTGAAACAGGACTGTCCATTTACACAGTCTGTTGGTGGTAAAAATAAGAAAGAAAACACACACACACACACACACAGACACCCCGTCGTCTCCACTCCAGTCCATTTTCGTCCACAACGACGGCAGCAGAACGACGACAGATGTGGCAGGAACCCAGAGAGAAACCAGAAGTCAAATATTCCATCGTGAACTTCTGTGTCGCCGCAGCTACACAAAGACTTAGCAGCGGCTCGGCACGTTAATTAACACTCCACACAGTGTGTGTGTGTGTGTGAGAGTGTGTGTGTGTGTTCCATTGTGTTAAAGTCACCTGATCGTGTTGGAGACAAAAACGTGGATTAATTCAAATATATTCAGAGAGAGAAGAACGGAATGTTGGTCCCTATATTTCATCTGTGTATTAAAGAGAAGGTGTAGATGGGGGTGTGGGGGGGGGGTGAGGGGGAGGGTTGGGGTAAGAGAGGGTGAAATATATAGTTCAGAAGAGATTGGACTTTTTTTTTTGAGTAAACAAAAATGGCAAAAAGGCTAAAAACTGGGGCCAAAAGAACCTCCAAACCTTCAAACCTTCAAACCTAAAACAGAGAAAATGAATGAACGTTTGCAGGAACAACAGAACCTGGTACTAATTAACAGAGTTCTCAACTCCTTCACACTTTAACGACTCGGTTCCAGGAAGTTATTCAGAGCAGAAATAAGTCGTGTAATTACACCCAGGTTTAAACATAATAAATGATTCCGAACAAAGGCTCATTTTAATTTTTTTTTTTTAAATGTAGCATTGAATAAATGTGGGCAGATAGTAGGAAGTGAATGAACGAATGAGTAATGAGGCCGTAAAAAGTTAAAGATTGTTAAATAAAATAAGAGGAGCTGAGAAACGCAGGCCTCTGTGCAGTACCACTGATGACCAGTAGGGGGTGGGGGGTAATAGCTCATTTTAACGTTTTTTTTTTTTTTTTAAATAAATCAAGCGGCCGGTTTGAAACCCCAAGCGGGCCGGTTTTGGCCCGCGGACCGTATGTTGGACACCCCTCTCATACATATTAGTCACGAGAGAGAGAGAGAGAGAGAGAGTTACACTCTAACCTATCAGACTAAAATTTAGGGAGAGTACGAAAGGAAGGGAGTAGAAGAAGAGAGTGATCCGGTCAACACTCACCGTGTCCAGGTCACGTCGTCTTCACGGAAGAGTGGAGTGGAGAAAGAAGTGGGTCAAAAGGGGGAGAGAGGGTGAGGAGGGGGTTCGTCTGGGAGAGTCAGTGCTGTGGACAGAAGAGGGAAAAAAAAAGGTTGGTTTTTTTTTTTAACCCCAAATAAAACGGTCGTCACTCACAGAGAGCTCGTGTTCGATGGCGTTAATAATTCATTTATCTTCACACTGTGACGACAGTTAGCGACGACAGTTAGCATCGTTAACAGTTTTTTTTTTTCACCTGGTCCAAATTAGAAGTTGACGTCATCACAACTGTAGCAGGAGCTCATCAAACATCCTCATGTGGCAGAAAATAATTCTGAGGTGTGAGATTGTGCCCCCGGTGGACAACGCCGGTACTGTAAGAGCACAGGAAGAGGCCTGAATGTTTCCACCGTCTTCACCAGCGACACCAGTGGGATTAAAAGTTCAGATAACGAATCAACGTCACACTGTTGTGTGATTTTTTTTTTTTTTTTTGGGTCAGACTCTCGACAACACTTTTTTAATTCCCTTAAGCAATTAACACAAACTGCCCTGCAGCGGAAATGACTGTCGGATTTTTTTTAACGTTCCACCTTTGGCCCAGATCTCAGGAGTAGTCTTAAAGCTAAAATGATTTACAGGGTGGAAAGAAAACACGGAGATGAAGGTTCCCGCCTTTGTTTGGCCTCGCACGTTAACAACGTCCAATTAGCGCCGACAAAGACAACGCCACTTATGCTAGCACATTTAATCAAACTCCGACAGCTGCGCCTCCATTAAGGTCTCTGTGTTTGACTGTCTGGGGCGGGCAGGAAGTCCATTAGCAGTCTGCGTCACCGCGGCGTCTCACCGCCCGACTCCCTCCGCTGGTCACTGTGAAGAATCGCGGGCGTGATGCGGCAGGAAGGCTGACAGCTGTGTGGAGCAGCAGCACACTTACACCTGTCCGCACACATTAGCGCCGCACTCACTCCTGACCAAACAAACAGCGGTGCTCAAACTACATGTCCAGGTCCAGTCTGTAGACCCCCCCCTCTCCCCCCTCCCTCCCCTGTTCGTCATAAAGCGGCCGTCCTCCTGGACTCTGCTCTATTTTTAACCCACTGACACAGAGCAGCGTCCTGACTGTACTCAAGAATACTGCAAACACGCTACTTCACAACGTGTACTTTTACATACTCTGTATTTACAGTAAGACGGCGAGTTTTTATGAATGACATTTAAATTTCTGCTGTCAAATAAATAATTAAATAAATATTTTAATTACAATTAATTTCCTGATTGTCGTTTTGTGACGCACAATAATCTGATGTATTTTTAAAACAGGTTGTTTTTTTGCAAAAAAAAAAAAAAGAAAGAAAGAAAAAAGAAGAAGATGAGAAGATGAAATGTTGTTTTTGGAATTAAACAGAAATAAATAAATAAAGTTTTTGTCGAAGAGCAAAACGACGTCCGGTTCTAAACATAAAGGTCGTCGGTTGGTTCCTGTCAGACTCCAGTTCTCCGACTCTTCCTCTATTGATCTTTTCATTTTTCACACCTCTCACCTGCTCCCTCACCCCCCCCACTCACTCCTCATCCTCACCCCTCCTCCCCCATCCACTCTCTGACANNNTCTGTCTCTCTACAATGGGGGGAGGCGGGCGGGGGGGGGGTGTGGGGGAGGTAAAGGTCAGGGCTGACAGCCATTTAGTAATGCCTCCAACAGTGCAGAGAGAAAACACATGGACGAGCAGATGAAGGAGGGAGACGTGAAGAAAACAGAGGCAGAGTAAAAGAGACGGATGAGTTGGGGAGGGCTGGGGGGGGGGCAAGGGTGAGGAGGAAATAAGAAAAGGGAGGGTGAATTCTGGATGGATGGACAAATGGATGGAACCAGAACCAGAACCAGAACCAGAACCATCATTAATCCCATCGTCTCTCGATGCAGTGAATGTGTTTTTTTCCCCTAAAATACTACAGTAAATGATCCAAAAAGTACTTTAAACACAGTCAATGACTGCAGGTCGGCAGGTTAGCGGGAGGAGGAGGGGGGGGGTC